AAACACTAGCAGAGTAAAAATATGACATGAAATATAACACTGTAAATATACACAAATATTTAAATCATTTGACATAAGCCCATCAACTGAATAATGAAAATTGTGAATAAATGAAAAGTGCAAAGTCCTTATTGATCCACCGCAATCACCACGTGGGCAACATAACAATAATTGATTGAGTAATATAATAGACAGGACAGCGCTACAGATAATGAATACTAAAAGTCCACATAAACCATGTAACGAATCCTCTGTACATGTCTAAATTCCCACTGAATCAATAATATAAATGTATCAAAGTAATAATGTAACCATTCAACAGAATGACATGTGAAACATTCAAGTGAAAGTCTCAATCAGTAGGTATGAAAAAGTTCCCTTCCGTCCAAGTGTTCAGAAAAAAACAGAAAACTGGAATCACCACTAGTGAGGAACCTTCATCTCCAGCCTCTCATCTGGTGGTTAGACCTACTGAACTTTGGTCTGATCACGCCGTTAACCCTATTGTCCCTGGGTTATGGGGATATCCACCAAATTTCCAATGAAAAGCGAATCACTGGTTATATGAAGAGAGAAGCTTACATAGTGTGTACCCATACATAAAATGTATTGGAATAAATGAAAAACAACACTCACAAGCAAAGTGCACATGGCTGGTGCACTACAGATGACAGCGGTATCAAGCTGATAGTCTTTATGATTATCGCAGCTGGTGGAAGCTCTGTGAGTGAGGTCACTGTTGTCTCTCCCCTCTCATCTCCTGGTGATATCCTGTCACTGTGATCCATGTGGTCCACCCGGCGGTAAAGCGGTATGCCGCTGTTTGAATGTCACTCACTCCACTACACACCCTTACGTGTTACGCCTGTGTGCCTTCGTCTGACGATCATGATGATCTGCGCTACGCTGACACTCACCACAAGCACTATTGCCTATCAGGTTTGGATGGGCCACGATATCTGGTGAGTGCTACTGAATTGGGGGAGGTTTTCCTCTTTAGCACGCGGTGACATCTGAGTGCACTTTACTCAATCAGTTATGGTTATGTTGCTCATGTGGTGATTTCGGGGGATCAATAAGGACTTTGCACTTCATCACAATTTTCATTTTTCAGTTGATGGACTTATGTCAAAACGATTAAAATATTTGTGTATAATTACAGCGTTATATTGTGTGTGTCATATTTTGACGTTGCTAGTGTTATATATATATATATATATTAAAAATAAAATAAAAAAAATATTATATATATATATATATATATATATATATATATATATATATATATATATATATATATATATATATAATTTTTTTTGTGCTGCTTTTACTCATTTACATATGATAACATATGATATGTTTTTCTATTTTCTGTTGTGAATAAAATTTGGGTTTATATGATTCACAAATCATTGCGTTCTGTTTTTATGTAGATTTTACACAGTGCCCCAACTATTTTGCAATTGGGGTTGTAAGAAAACAAATGCGGTCACCACATCTAAAGTTTTGCAAGCTGCAGTATATTACATTTTGGTTTTTGGGTTTAGATACACTTGAATTCAAACACTTAGCATTCTGTTGTTTTTGATATTGTAGCCCAACATTACACCTTTTTTTATTAAGTGTTCTTGCAAAGAACACTTACTGTTATCTCACAAATATATTCTTATTCTTATTATAGCCAAATTTGCCACGCTAACTCCTCCCACAGTTTTTACACTACAAAGACAAGTAATATATCAAAACGTGCAGATTGTTCCCGATCGTGCAGATTGTTCCCGATCGTGCAGATTGTTCCCGTTTCGCCGAATCGTTCACGAAATATCGCGGTTTTTGTGGTGAAATTTTCCCATAGGAATGAATGGTGCAACTAGAGAGCACAGCAAAGCTACAGTGTGGAAGGAAAAATCAGAACATGATTTGTAAACTGCCATCACTCATTCATTTTCAAGCCCACCTACACATATCTTATATCAAAACGTTCAGCGAACCCTGCTGTCACTAAAAATGTCCACAGCTAAGCCATACTCCTGATAGTTTTCAGAATATGACCATTTGTTTGCAACTCACCCCTCCCATTGATATTCATTGAAACTTCACTCACAGCCACCTGAAATGTTAAGGGACATTTTTAAACTGCGACTGTGCCTTCATTTTTAATATTGCAGAGACATACTATACATCAAAATTTAGCTCTGCTTCTTGTGATTATCACAATATCAAGCTCTTCACAGTAGCATTTATACTTTTAAAACTACAAGTGTTTGAAGATGGCAATCGCCAGTGAAGTTGGCAAGTTGGAGCAGTGTGTTTAGAACAGACCTTCTCACATTCCTGTGACTGAGTGAGTTGCTATAGCAACCAAAGGTGACTCGAGGCAGATGAGTCACACAGGCTGGACTGTGAGCTGCAAAATACAAGCTGAAATGCATTTCTCACTATCAGGCTTGCCATGTGCACTGCTTACATTTCATCAATCACTTGGTAAGGGTTGGTTGCAAGAACACTTTACACAATTTCCCCAGAAATTGTAGATTTTCTAGTTTTATTTGATGCAATGTTTATAGACTACGACTTTCACTGCTGTAGCTTTTAGATAGAATGGTTAAAACTGTACAGTATACCAACCAGAGTTTCACTTAAAGTGGAACTGCACTGCATCTGAGCACCACAAACCAAAAATTCTATTTAATTCTTTGTTAATATTCAAAGCAAACTCACCTATCCATTCATGTCTCCATGCTTTATTTTTCTGAGAAATCATTTTGAAAAACACCCCCTGGCATTTCTGGCAGTGGCCATCTTGAGTAATGGCAAATGCATCATGTAGAACTTACTTCCTGGAATCTATCTGCCCTTAGCTCAGGTATTGGCTGAGCTGAGAACCCTCCCTCCCCTCCTGAAGACTGCTGGGATGTATGACCTCCTGTGCCTAGGCATGGAAACCAGGAAGTAACTGAAGAAATGCAAAAAAAAAAAAAAAAGTTTATAACAAGTACGGTAAATATTATATACTTTCCTCTCCATTTACCAATGCTAGCAGGATAATGATTTAAAATAGTCCATGTTGATTGAGAGGGTGAAGTTCCGCTTTAATATGTTGCGATTTGTGACACCTGGTTTTTAATAAGTAAATGGGGGAATGCAGCTGAGCATCAATTCATTGTGTTTTGTTTAGCAGACCCAACTGAACAGCAATTAATATTTACGGTATTTTGTATGCTCCTTCCCTTCCTGTAATACATTTCCCTAGCCTAGCCCGTAGCATTTTGTTATTGGATCTGTAATTTATGTTTGTACTTCATTGCGCTGGAATTCTACATTTTCCTGATAGATTTCCACGGGCATAACTACACTTTAATTAGCTTCAGCCAGATGAAATCTTTTGCCAGGGCAAAGCACAATTATTTTGTGTTGCAGTGTATGCAAGAATAACTGCTGAAGATACACAAAATGCCCCCTGGTCTTGCTTCTCTTCATTTATCATAGGCACCTTTAAGTAAGAACCCTAGTCAAAATGTAAAAACCTAGATATAGTCCATATCACAAAAAAATATATATATATTTGTTTCTTTTTATTAAAAATTTCTTAAAAACACTGTTATGCACAATCTTTTCTTTATTTAAACATCTATAAAACCAGCATACCAGCTGAAATTTGTCATCAGGGTGACAGTAGAATTTTCCATGTAGTTTCTAATCAGAAACTCCAACAATTTCTTGTCACAGACACAAGGGAAAGGAAGGTAAAAGTGTACACTGTACATATAATTCAGCAGCCTGCCAGGATGCAATGCTCAGAACACATAAATGTAAATTCAATCATTAAACTTTCATATACGTGTTAAAGTGTTACTAAACCCACAACAGTAAAATCAGTCTGTATATGCAGTAAAGCATGCTTCTTATACTCACTGTGGAACCTCCTCTGCATTGTGTAAAAAGGCCGTTTGATCCTGTCTTCTCTATTATTCAAGGGACCACGTCTTACCTCCTGATAAGACACACTGAACCGTAGACATTTTACACATGCTCAGTTTGGTGTGTATTGCTAGAGGTTTTTTTTGTCTGGGGAGAGTGCATGTAATTAGCACAGGGCATATCAGCACTGGTCAGACAGAGGGAAGGAGTTTTGCATCCTCCGAAAGCAGAAAGAAAACTCCTCCTACAAGCTTTAGCTAGTGCTTGGCTGAATACTGATAGAAGACACAAGGCTGCTCTAACTGCTGATTAGAAAAGGTATTTAGCAGTTTATATTTACTAAAATAATTGCATTTCCATGTTGTGTGTACTGTGGGAGACCAGATTTAGTGGATGTAGGGTCCTGGGTTTAGTAACACTTTAATGTTAGCAATATCTGGTGGGTGATCCTACCATGGAGGTACTTGTGCAGGAACTTCCTGATATAGGATTTCAATACCCAGGCCCTGTCTCCCAAATTTGCTCTTGCATTGTCACCATCAGGAGAGCAGCCTGAGCATTGCCAACACAGAATAACATGCATAAAGGCTCTCACCAAAAATTCCTTTTCTCTGTGATCGTTTGAGGACACAGCTCCGTTTTAGATAATCACAGACTGGTCCAGCTGAAGATGTGGGGATGACTTTTACCATCCACCGAGTAGATGTATGAAATTTGATTTTGTAACCTGAGGCTACCCACTCATTTGTCCTACACATTTGTTAGCCAACAGTCTGTGAAAGCAATAAGTAGTCCCCCCACCCTGAGCCAGGAGCAAACATTGATTAACTAAAATGGAGCTGTGTCCTCCAATGAACCAAACAGAAGAACATTTTGCAAACAAAATCTCATTGAGTTTAAATGTATCTACTTTAAATTTAGACTTGTATTGTTATTTGAAATGTGGTCTAGATGTTCAGAATGAAGCAGTCAAAAAGTAAAAGGAACACTAAAATTGCAAAGGTTTTGTTGCACAGATTAAGGCAATGCCTATTAAAACATGGAAATAATTTTTTTGATTGCTCCACCATGCCTCATACCGTTTAGTTTGATGTATTCACCCAGCCGGTCCACGATCTCAGGTCTCATCTCCTTCTCTTCAATCATTTCACTCCTGACCTTGTCCCAAGGAACCTGGAACAGACAAGTGATTTGTTGGTTTTTGTTTTATTTCTAAACTGTCTGAATTACGGGAGTTGCTATATTGCCACCAGAGAAAACTGCGTGCGTTAATGAAAAATGCCATCTAAACGGCGTCTGTGACATAAGGATGTTGAAAATAGATGGTGATGGCTGCTGTTAGAAGACACATGCTAATTCCTAACCGCAGAACTATGAAACGTTGTCTCTCTTTTCCTAAATCTGCCTCAGACCTTAAATGCCACCCCAAGGCCAGGTTTAAATGATATTCCTGCACGTTTGCAGATCCGTTATCAAAGTATGACTTTTTTCAATAGTTTCTGCACACGTCTTTGTAAGTCCTTAAACATTTAATATTTATTAATAGGCCACTTTTACACTTTCCAGACCTTTTGTTCTTTATTCACCTTTATTTCTAGCTTAAATTGTTATAGTAATACAAGACGTTGAAGAAAATCACTGGTTTAACATAAAATCCAGATACGGTGGAAAATGAAGAGCTGCACTGACAAAATCTCTCTCAGTCTCTCTGATCTGCATCTCTGACAGTCTCATGTTACAAGCACAAAGAAAAAAAGAGTAACCATCTAGGCTGCACACCCAAGTCAGTAATGTGCCAGAAGGCAAAGCTGAACCCTCTTAGCTAAAGAATATGTAACCCCAATCATGCTGACACCTCATCATTAACTAGAAAGTTGTAAACACAATAACTAAAATATCTTATACACTTTTACATGTTCATAGAACATCAAAGATCAGTTTCAATTCTTCAATTCAAGCCCTGAGGAAGTCACATGACATTGTGACGCAACGCGTCGGCCTGATGTGGTGAAGCACTTCCGGCGTGGTGGCCATCTTGATGCACCTTTTTTGATTCCTGTACACCCATGCAGAGTACACCCAAAAGCATAGGGTTGTAAAGCTGTCATCTTTGAGGACTGATGTGAGTTGTCTTCATATGTATATCGTTTGATCTTCATTAAATTTACCTGCTACACTATGGGAGATTGTGTTTATGTTTTTACTGGCACATACCCATACCCCATAAGAGGAGCCACTGCTTGATTATCGACCCCTAGAGAAGGAGATCTATGGATGGGGAAAGTGGATCAGTGGATACCAGTAGATGCTGAGAGGATCTGAGGGTTTGATCCCACTATACGCTTTGACCTTCACGGGTCGAAGCCTGGAGGTGAGAGGCTAATCTAGCCGTGTGTTGGAGTTTCTGCACCTGGAGTCACTTTATGATCACGTGTGCTTGCAATTGCAGTTGTGGTGTCACCCACCCATGGGACATTTTTCTACACATTTTTTTTATTTTTGTTTGCGCCTTAGTGTGACATTTTTTGCACTATATTTGCACGTTTGATCACAGTTTTATTATTGCAATTATTTACTTTTAAACTGTTTTCATGTGTAAGAATTTTTCACAAGATTGCTAATACACTGCGTTTATACACTATGTTTTATTATGGTATTAGCTTTAATATATATTTTTTGATCACTATGACCACTTGATTATTATATTTATATTCATCTCACGAGGTGTATTGTATGTGTTATATATGTTTAGAGGTTTTTTGAGTAGCATTTTTTTACTTTAAGCTTTATGAGTAGCGCCACATTTTTTGACTTTTTATTTCTTCGATCATGGGTATATGATGTAATGTTGGCGGCTTCTCTCTTTAGTTTATTTAATACAATTTTTGCTGTATAGTAGTGTGAGAGGTTCACACCATCCCTGTTAGTTCATATCATTTTTAATTTTTTGGTTATTCAGTAGCACAGGAGGTTCACACCATCCTTGTCAGTTTCAATTCTTATTTTAATCTTCAGCTTATACTGTATAAAATAAAACCGGATGATTCTGCCATGAAGGACCTTGTGCAGGCACTTATTGTTGTAGCATGACAACGTAGCTCAACTGTGTGGTTTTACAGCCCTCTAACCTCACAGTTGAACAAGCCCCTGGTTCACATCTGTGTGGCTGCGTGTAGGGCAGCCCATTCATTTCAATGGGCTGCACAAACTACCTGAAGAATTGCAGAGAAAGTCATCCCTGACTCTTTTTTTTTTAAATTGCACCACACCAAAACACCCTGCGTTTGTCAATGTATGGGGTACCATTAGGAATTAATGGTACTCCTAAAGAGCAGAGCATTTGTCTGCATGTCAGGAATGAGCACAATTTTGCGTGCATTCCGCAACACACAGTAATGTGAATCAAGCCTTCAGCAGGGGTGCTTTGTGACTGAAATTACATTTCAGGGGCGCGCAGACTGGAAAAAAGGTTGAGAAACACTGCTCTTAACATCCTAATGTGCACGGACGCACACATTGAGCTGCTTCTACAGACAAAACACAAAACTCCTGTAAAAGCAACGTTCTTGAACCAGTTCCCAACCGCACTATAGCCGAAGGACGGCTACAGCGCAGTTGTATGGTTCTGGGACAACGTCCATGGACGTCATTTCAGAGCATGCCCCCTGAGTGCCCTCGGTGCCGCCAGCGATCACTGTGTCCTACGGACACAGCTGATCACGTCATAAGGCAAACGGCCAATCACGGCGGCCTTTTACCACATGATCAGCTGTGTCCAATAACACAGCAGATCTCTGGGTAAATAAAGTTGCCGGTTATCGGTTGCACTTTCCTCACGCTGTCATAGCATGAGGAAAGTACTGCCGAGAACTGGCAATTGTCAGCGAAGGGATTGGCACTGATCATCAGTGCCCAGCAGTACTGCCCATCAGTGCCGCTCACCTGTGCTCATCAGTGCCGCTCACCTGTACTCATCAGTGCTGTGCAGTGCCATCCACCTGTGCCCAGCAGTGCCACCCATCTGTGCCCAGCTGTGCCACCCACCCTGTGCCCAGCTGTGCCACCCACCTGTGCCCAGCTGTGCCACCCACCTGTGCCCAGCAGTGCTGCCCATAAGTGTTACCCAGCAGTGCCACCGATCAGTGTTGCTCATCAGTGCCGCCTATCAGTGACACTCATCAGTGCTGCCTATCAATGCCGCCTATCAGTGCCTATCAGTGCTACCTATCCATGCCACCTCATCAGTGCCCATCAGTGCTGCCTATAAGTGCAGCCTCATCAACGCACATCAGTGAAGGAGAAAAATTACCTGTCTGCAACATTTTATAATGGAAACAAAGAAACGTTTTTTTTCTCAAATTGTTTGCTCTTTTTTTGTTTATAGCACAAAAAATAAAACACCAAGTGGCGAATAAATACCACCAAAAGAAAGCTCTATTTATGTGAAAAAAAGTATAAAAATTTCATATGGGCAAAAATGTTGCATGACCACGCAATTGTCATTCAAAGTGTGACAGTGCTGAAAGCTGAAAATTGGCCTGGGCAGGAAGGGGGTAGAAGTGCCTGGCAGGCAAGTGGTTAAGCCAGTGTGCATGGACCCTAAATAATCTGCTCTCTGCCACATAGGGTTCCATGAGACTTGCTGGTGAATTCCAAAGTATAAGCCAGCAGTTTCAGAAAAGCCTTGTGTGCATCATCCTTAGAAATCTGTGATAAAAGGTTGTCTGTGTGCTAAAACATTTAGCCGCTCCACATAAACTCAAGGACTTCATTTAATTAGCTCAAAAAGGATCATAAAATATAGACTTCTCCTCTCTTATGAATACAATATTATACTAGTGTTTAAAATAAGAACAGACATCATCCGCTAACTTGACCTTCAAGTAACAAGCTTCAGAGCATTTTAGAGAAACTCCTACCTCACTGTAAAGCCAAACAAATCCTCACTAATGGAATTAAGGCTTTTAAGAATCTGTGTGCAGACCATACCAGACTACCAAATACAAACTCGAAATAGTTTCAAATAAGGCACTGTTTACCCAGCAACACTGGAGCACACCAACTCCTCCGAGAGGCTTTTACTTATATCAAATATTATGGGAAGAGTAGGTCTGTGATTTATGAGCACCGTACTGACAAGCTTTCATTTACAAAATTAATATGTTTGTCTCAGTGGGAATATTCATCTAGGGAAGTATTTTAAATAAACAATTTATTAAAACAAACATTTTTAATCAACCAATGCTAAATACAAAGGAAAACCAACACAATAAAATTAGAATATGTATTCTAATAATTGTATCTGGTTAATACATGTGTAGTATTTCCTTTTTTTATACTACATACTTATTATTTATTGATTTATTACAGGTACTTATATAGCGCTGGCTATTTACGCAGCGCTTTACATATATTGCACATTCATATCAGTCCCTAACCCTCAAAGGGCTTACAATATAAGGCCCCTAACTTACATTCATACATACACATACTAGGGTCAATTTAGACAGGATCCAGATAACCTACCAGCATGTCTTTGGAGTGTAGGAGGAAACAGGAGTGTAGGAGGAAACAGGAGTACCCAGAGGAAACCCACGCAGGCACAGGGAGAACATGCAAACTCCAGGCAGGTGGTGCCGTGGTTGGGATTCGAACCAATGACCCTAGTACTGCCAGGCAGACCCTGGTACTTTTATTTATATTTTTCTCCACAATTACATGTTTACCACTCCGCCCAGAAAGTCTGAAGGAAAACCCGTGGATACGGCACCTTAGTGTTGTCCTTAGACCTAAACTCCAGGTTAGGGTAGAAACTACTCTTGCCTCACCCTTCAACCACTCCTTCGTTTTTAACTCATTGCTTATCCAAACCCTAAAACGAAACCTAACCCATTAATTAACACTTAGGCTCCATGCACACTGGGCTTAAAAAAAAAAAAAAAAAAAAAAGTCAGTTCCCTTGGCAGAGTCATTTTGTACAATGTTTAGGCACATTTAGGAGTTTTTAGCATTTTTTTTTCTGCAAAAAAACACAAACCAGAAGGGTTTTTTTTCCTCCTGCCTCGCTGAGCTTAAAATATGCCTCTAAACATCCTAATGTGTATGGACACATAGGATAACATTGAGCTGCTTCTACAAGCAAAACACAAAACTCCTGTAAAAGCAACACTTTT